TCCGGTGTATAGAATAAAAAAAAATTTTACTTTTGAAACATCATAGTGTTTTTTTTTGTTTATTATTTAAGTGTATAAATGAATTTCCGAAACATAATTTATGTAAGAGAAAAGGATATTTTTAGGAAATATTATTTTTATTTTTTATTTAATTTATGTACATTAATTTTCATAAGAATTTTTTTCGGTTTTTATGATATTGTCAGAATAATATGAAATTATGATTATTCTTTTAATAAATTTGAAAATTCTTTGAAGTTCTTTCGATTAATTGAAATGGGATGTACATATTATAATAATTAACTAATAATAAATAATATTAAGCTGTTCTACTGCGATAAGATAACAATGAAAAACCTTTGATTAGTTCAGAAAATAACCGACAGTCATTTTGTATTTCTGTAATAATAGTTACAAATTACAGCAAATCAATTTAAATATGAATAGAGTTGCGTGGAACCAATGGTTTGTAATGTAGCTCTTTTCTCATCAACAAGTGGAAATACTGCTTTTAAAAACAATCTAGCTGTTTACTACATTATTAAAATTACTTCCATTCATATACAAAAATATTTTTAAAAAATTGCATGCTTTTAGGATGAAGTAAAAAAAAAAAACAATATATTTTTCTTTAGAAGCGTTGACATAATGCTCGTATTTTAAGAGTTGATTGCGTCCGTTAAGAAAAATAGTTATATTTTTTAATGAAATGACATTTACCGTTAGCTTTCTGCATTTATCGATATTTTGGAAAAGTTTGTATGTTCGGAATTATAATATGGTGGCGAAAATTTGAATTTTACAAATTTCGAAAAGCTATAACTTGAGATTGAGGTGGGAAAAAGTTTTCTTCCAATAAAATGAAATATTTATTAACATCTAAAAGCTGTTAAAACTCCAAATTCATATAGCCTGTTATTAAAAACTAATTTTAGTTAACGGTAAATTTTAACGGCTGCTTTGTTTTTTTTAAATTCAAATATAGCAATCCGCGGTAAAAAAAGTGAGCCACTAATTTAACGCAATATTTAAGAAATGAATATAATTTTTTTGTTGCAATGAACAGATAAAATTGGCATTTTTAGGGTTTTGTGTAACTTAACTCTAACTTTTAGAGGGGGGGGGGGAGCTAGGTGAAAATTTTTTTCCACGGAAATAATTTTGTAGTAAAGTTTCAGCTTCAACGGTGTAGTAGTTTTGTTAACATGTTCACGCGTAGACGGACGGACAGAATGAGACTAATAAGGACTTTTTTTCAAAAAATTTTTGGAAAATTGCTAAAATTTTGTTTGTACTAAGTTTTTTTTTGTAGTATAACAGTATATTATATTACTAAAATTACTATTATAATAATAATATTTCTCTTTTTTTTCTTTACAGATATACTCAAAATGGCGTTCAAATTATCGTTTTAGCTATGGAATATAATGCTCATGATAAAAATTGAAATAAATTAAGTTTTTCCCTTTTAAATTATAATTTTAGTTTTTTCTTTTAATAATTATTAAAAATTAATTAAAAAAAAAAAATCGTATCTGTAGTAAAATTTAATTTAAAAATCAAAAAAGTAAAAATTAATCAAAAAAAAAAAAGGCAAAAAAGCTCTAAATTAAAGGTTTTCATAAGTGCTTTAGTGAATTTTTTAAATTCTCGATTCAATTAGCGAAAAATTAATTAAAAAAAATAAGAGAAAAATGTTTTTAATTTTTTTTTAATCCTTCATTTTGAATTAAATAAAAAATTTTCAGTTTCTTTTTTATAAATTAATTAATAATATTATAAATTAATTTATTATTATAATAATAATTAAAATTTAATTCATATGACGTAAAAGTGCTATACTATACAATATTAATAATAATAAAAAATTAAAAAATAAATAAATAAATAAAATCTCATAATCATTACTAATTAAAATTTTATTCTTAAAATTTAATAAAGCATAATAAAGAAATCAAAAATATCGCTTGTAGATTATTTAGTGAAGGCGAAAAGAAATATTTAAATTAAATAAATAAAAAAAATTTAATAGTAAAATCAATTTTTCTGTTTTTTTTTTTTTGGTAATTTTAATAAAAATAACAAGAAAAAAAAAGTCCTAATAAATATTAAAAAAAAAAAAATTCATAATATTGAATAATAATGAAATTAATTAAATATAATTATTTTATGAAATTATAATATTAACGTAAGCTTTGTGATATTTTTCTAACAAAAAAAAAATAAATAAATAAAATAAAGAAAAAAAATTAAACTAGTGCTGCACATAATCAAATATCATGTAAAAAATTATAGTAAGAAAAACAAAAAGTAATTGAAAACAATTAAAAAATATTCTAAATTTATTAAAAAAATATATTTTTATTTGGAAATTCAAAATTTTATGAAAATAATGTGTGTGTATGAGTATTAAAAATTAAAAATTTAATACCTTCTTCTATTTATTTAATACCTTACATAATTATATATGCATATACATTTTATATTATTACAATCTAATATTACATACATTGCGTTATAATATCTTATGAGTGAATATTTTAATTGGAGAATTATTTATAATAAATATTTTTAATCCTAATTACCATTATAATAACAAAAAGAAATTAAAAATTCTACTTTTTAAAATTTCTATGAGTTGGAATTATTTTTTTGTTAATTTTGTTTTTTTTTTTTTTGGAAATTAAAATTATCTTTAACATTAAATTTTATTAAAAATTATAAAGCTATAAGTTAAAAAAATAAAATAAATTTAAGAAATAAACATGCAACAATACTCATTTCCAAAAAGACATTATAAATTTAAAACGTAAAGTATGACAAAATTCATAATAATTAAATTTATGGAAAATCTTTACATAAAATAAAATTATTTATAAATTATATTTACATATTTTTTTGGTATATATGCACATATTTATGTGTATATGCATGTAATATATATTATATATATTATATGCATATATTATATGTGTATATATAAATATATAATTTAAAAAAATAATATCAAAATGAATGCCAATCATGCTTATATTTTTTTGCTTTATCAAATTAAAATCAATATTAGATGAATTTGAATTAAAATCATACATAGTGTATTAAAAACAAAATAACCAAAATGAATTAATATTTATTTTTTGTTTATTTTTGCAATTAAAAAAAAATTTTTTTTCTTTTATTTTGATAAAATTAATATTTATACGCTTTATACATATCTGTGTATGTGTGCATATTATTATTAAAATGCTTAATTTTTTTTTTTGTTCAAAAAGTGCTTGAATGCTTTAACCAAAACAAAAAATAATAATAATAATTATAGTTTAATTACATAATGAAATTATATATATATATATATTAAAATATATATGTGTTAACGTATTTATAACAAAATAATATTTGTACGTAATATACATTTTTATATATACGTAAAAGAGAAAATCTTAAACGAAAAGGAAGAGAATCAAAAACAGTTTTCTAACCAAAGTAAAATGGGAGAAAAATTTAAGCAAAGCAGAGAGTAAAACGATAAAATTTATATTGAATTTTAATTAAAAATAATTTTTTTTTTTTATAATTTCTTTTTAATTATTAAAAAAAAATAATAATAATAAATGAAATTAAAAAATGAAATTCAATTAAAATTTAAACCAAAAAAATTAACACACCCCTACAAAAAACCTACAACATGGATAATGAAAACTGCATTTAAAAATTACGAAAAAAAGTTTTAATGCCAAACATTTTTTTCGTTTGCTCTCAAGTTAACTGAAAAACAATTCATTGATACTACAATATTAGTGTGTGGTAAACTACAAACAGAAAAACAAAATATACGTTATAACTTACATAATATAAAAGAAGTTTAAGAGAATCTGAAATTCAACAGCAAGTAAAAATTATAAAAAAAACAAAAAAAAATTGAAAAGAAAAATGCATTTTTACAAACTAAAATACAAAATTTGATTGGAATACAAAAAACACATGCACACACAATATAAATAATTGTATACTAACCTAAAAATAAATCAAGAGAGAGAGAGAGAGAGAGGAAGAGAAAAAAACGAAACAAAATAAAAAGAAACAAAAAAGAAGAAGAAAGGAATAAAAACAGAAATACTTAATAAAAGAGATTTTTCTTTCTTTTTTTTCTTATTCTTCTGCTCTTATAAAAAGCAAATTTAATTCTCTTTTTTGAATTTTGTTTTTTCATTTATTTTATGTTCGTTTTTTTTTTGTTTTTTGAATAAACCATTGAATTTTCAATTTCCACTAAAACCATTTTTACTATAATAAAAAAAAAACTAAATTTATATAAAAAAATCTAAAATAATAAAAACGAAAAAAGATTAAAAGAAAAAAAGAAAATCTCATTGAAAGTAAAGGATTCTAAATAAAAAAGGATATCATCGAAATTTTATTGCAAATAAAAAAAAAAATATAAAAAAACAAAAACAAAAAAGCAAAGAAAAAAGCAAAACTTTTCATTTTGATTTATTTTTGTTTTTCGTTTTCTTTTATCTTTTTTATTTTGAAATTCTTTGGAAAACACCCGAAATTTGTCTCATCTCACCCCAATCCCAAATATATTGGTTTTTTTTATAAAAATTTTACGTTTTCTACCCAAAAATATCAAATCTCTCCTTTCCATAATAAAAATTTTTTCTTTTACCTTCATTTGTGGGGAAAAAATCACCAAAAAAACAAAACAAAAAGAGAGAAAAAATTACAAAAAAAATTCTTTTTAGTTGATTTTGTTCTCTCGTTTCATTGGTGTTTTTTGTTATTCTTTTTTTTCGTATTTACTCAAATAACTATTTTCTTATTTAATCTTCATTATTTTATTTATTTATTTTTTATTATATTTTATTATTGTACATTATATATATATATATAATAATATATTTTTCGAATTATGTATGTATGTATAATTTTTTTTTTCTTTCACACTTCCGTCAAAATATAAGTTCAACTACATTTACATATATAGAAAATAATCAAATATAATAAATAAAAATTCAAAAAAAAAAATAGTACCGTTATAAAATTCTCGAAATGGATATAATAAAATGATGGAAGATCAATTAAAAAAAAAATTTTTATTTTATTTTTAAAATTAACAAAATAAAAATAAAAAATAAAAATTAAATAATTATAAAAAAAAAATATAAATAAAAAAGAAAATATTAAAAAATTTCGTATAAAAAAAAAATAAATTTTTTTTTCGCATTAATAAAAATTATATAAAAAAGAAGAGAAAAAAAAAAACAAATAAAAAAAAACCTCAACATAATGCCGGTGAGACGTGGACACGTGGCACCAAAGACCACTTTAATTGAGACCATCATTAGGAAATTTGATACACATAGTAAGTTTTAATATAAAATCTGTTATCTTATTCAAATAATAATATTATAATAATAAATTTTATATATATATATAAATAATTGTATATATATATATATAAATAATCGTAAAAATTAAATATAAAAATTAGCTAAATCAAATAATTATGAAATATAAACATAAAATTACATATATTTTTCTGCAATTATAAATGGAAGAATTTAAAATTGATTGACTTTATAATTTTATGATTGATATTGGGTCGACATTTAAATAATTTAATGTTTTATGTTATTAAACTTGTCTACTATTTAATAAAATACAAATTTATTAATATTTTCTCTTTTCGCGAAAATTAATTGAGAGTCGAGAAATTCAAGGCTCATCTGTTTGCATACTCTAACTAAATAATAGTGTCATAAGAAAAATAAAAACAAAAAGTTCTTCTATGTGAAGGGACTTTTCCCCATTTAATGAACAACCAATTGAAATTTAGCATAAATTACAAAATTTAGTGTTAAAATCGATTAGATTTGGAAATCATGTTTCCAATTATGGGCTAGTCTTGTGAAAAAAAAAAATTATTAATAGTATGAAAATTTAATAGGGTCTGCATTTTTACTAATAATAACATTAAATAGACAGAATTTTGGTGGGTGTAGCAGAAAAAGAACTCCATAAATAATTTTATTATTCAACCAGGAAGTAACATTTCTTGATTTGTTATAGTTGATTTGTAAAGTTGCATCGAGTTGTTAAGTAAGCAATATAATGAATGGAATGTTTTAAAAATGATACTTAATTCACATCAATTTTTTGTCAGAATGAAATTTCAAAATACACACTTTGAAAGCAATTACAAATACGTTCTAATTAACAATTATCTACTACATAATATATTAAGAGTTTGAGTTTGTAAAATGACTTCATGATTTTAAAATTTTAATTAAAATTCAAGTGACTGAAGGATTAACGAATTTCTCTAGTAATTTTCTGAGAATTGAATTTAAAAAGAATAATTATTTTATTACTGTTTGTTAAATGAATAACAATATGTACAAAACTTTCTGGGACTTATAATTTATAAGCTAAAACATTGAAATAATGTTACATAACGTAATGCGTGATTGTCATAATATGAATCTAAAATTATGCGCTACGCGGATATCAGAGACGTAGATTTTAAATATTTCGAAAACCTAATATCATTTATCTGTGACAAGCTACACATTCGGTTGATATTTTGTCTTAAAATTATGTTTGTGATATAAATTAATAGTGCCAGACCGTTAATATACTTCCTTGTATTAAATTGGGATCAGATACAATGAATTATAAAATTATTTGCTTCTAGTGAAGGACATTTACCTTATTATACGAATATTATATTATTATCGTAATTATATCTGGAATTTTGCGCAAAATATTAAAACTTTATGCCTTGTTCTGTAGTGGATTAATCAAATACATCTGGGTAATTTAATTTATTATTGATAAATTATTCTTTTGTAATTAAATTTCACTGTATTATTCTAAATTTTTTGAATCTTTTTCTTTAATTTGTAAATTCAAATCCTCTGATTTTACTCTAATAATTGTTACCATGAACTCATTAGAAGTGTATTGATATCAAAATATGTACTGAGCAAATTTCTTTCCTAATTTGAATACTTATATTTAATTAATTATTGATTCTTTTTCTTATCAGCTCTTCGTATGCTATTAAAATGTTACAATATACAATTTTTCAAATAAAATTCAAATAAACAAAAATTTTTTAAAAATTGTTTTAAAAATTAATTGCATAAAAATTGAATGATTTTTATTGTGTATAAATTTTTCCATAAAGTCTTGTATAATGTAAAGCCTTACCTTCAGTAACTTGCAAAAATTACAATAAATTTTATAGAATATTATAATATGTTTCAAAATAACAATTAATATTAGTTATAGGATGTATCATAAAATATTACGTTTAATATTTCGAGCAAATAAAATGAATATAAAACATTATGGCTCATTTATAAGAAAATCATGTAAAGAGTAAACATCATAAGGATAGTAGCTATACTATTATTAAAAATTCAAAGTCTATGAAAAAAAAAATGTCAAATATTATTTGATATTTAATATATAATATCGGAAAGCATTCAATATAAGGCATTTTATATGATTAATTGATTTTTTTTATGTTTACAAATCCTTTCAGTTTTATATAAAATTATTGTCTACACAATATAGATAGAGGTATAGAACAAAAATATGAATCTAGAATATAAAATTAGTTTAATAATACAAGAAAAAAATGTATTGGATCGACCATTTCGAACATTATTTATCAATGTCTAAAAGTCGGACAATATACGTCTTATTTTTAACAATATAATTCTTCATTATAACCTTACATACATATAACGGTTATCATGTATAACATGCAGCTAATGTTGAAGATATAAACGAAATTTTATAGTAAATATAAAATTTAATTCTGACTGATTTTAATAAAGAGAAAAAGAGAAAATATAACCTTTGAATTAAGAAAATCAAAAAGATCATAAAAGTTGAGGTCCGGCGGTGCAATGCTTTAATAGATGAAAGAAAATTTTTTACAGATTTATTTATTTTCTAATAGCAGATTTTTCTTTACGAAATACGAATTATTCCTTTGCATGTTTAATGGGCAGCATTTGTAGCAGCTTTAAATTTGTTTTATAATAAATATCACTGGAATATTGTAGTAATTTTTTAAATTACCTTCATTATATTCATACAAAATTTGGTTTGTTATTAATATTTTCCGAATAATATTACAATATCTCGGTAAAAAGTTGAAATAAAGTTAAAGGAAAATTCACACCTCTTTATGTTTTGCAACGGAAACTATTTTTAAACGAAATCACGCATAGATTCGAATCTTAAATCGATTCCCTAAAATCATTCATTATAAGAGAACAAAAAAAATAAAGAAAAAAAAACCTAAAAACAAAATTAAATAAATAATTCCTTCCTTGTACTTCTCATATAAATATTTTAGTTCCATCGTCAGTTCACTCGTGCCATTGATTTTTTTTTCTTTATTAAATACAATTCAAATATTTTTCGTCCTTTAAATCCTTTAATATTATTTAAATATTTTCTAGTTGTTAAGCTACCGCCAAAAAATTTTTCTTGTTTTTTTTTAATAATAACTTTTATATTACATTGTAATTAAGTAAAAAAAAAAAATGTTTTATGTAGGAAAACAAGAAAGCAAAAATAATAATAACAATATTAAGTATATAATTATACAATATTTTTTTTTTTTTTTTTTTTTTTTTTTTTTTTTTTTTACCGAGAGGACGGGTGAAAAATCTCGAAAGACACTGCCAGACGAAAAGCAGTAGTGTGGAACTTTAATCCACTAAAAAACACCCTCCTCAAAATAAACTATAAAACTAGTCGGAACGACTAACCATTAATTTTGCTCTAACTTTTTTGATTATTTACAAGCCTTTGATCTGGCACAATAGTGTACTAAGTACTCACTGTTCCAGATAAAAAGCTTTAAACTAGCTCGAGAGGTCTCGTACGTTTAAGTCTCCTAACAAAGTTTTGATTGTCAACCAATCGAGCCGCCTCGATGTTGACATGATTGGATAAACGCATTTTATGATTGGCTGCTTGCTTTTTAATTTCGTCTGTGACACTTAGGATCCTGAGATCCCTGTGTATATCAGCATTACGGACATACCAAGGGGCGTTTACAATGTCCCGTAATACCCTATTTTGAAATCTTTGTATAGATTGGATATGAGTCTGCGCAGCGCAGCCCCACAACTGAATACCGTAAGCCCAGACAGGCTTAAATATTTGATTATATATCAAAACTTTGTTGTATATCGTCAATTTGGAACGCCTCCCCAAAAGCCATTGGAACTTTCTGTATTCCTCTTCTAGTTGAGATCTCTTTTTCTTTATGTGCTCCTTCCATCTGAGCTTCGCGTCCAACGTCATTCCCAAATACTTCGCCGTGTTTGCGGTCGGAATCGAGACGCCATTTATTTGAACCGAAAATGAATTTTCAATTTTCCTATTAGTGAAATTTACATGTACTGATTTCACCTCGTTAAGTTTTATATTCCACTTTCTAGTCCATTTTGAGATCTCATCACTGGCCCTTTGCAATTTTTGTGTAGAATCATTTTCATTTCGTCCAATTGCGATAACTGCTGTATCATCAGCAAATGTAGCTGTTGTCACTCCTACCGATTCAGGAATATCACACGTGTATAGCAAGTATAATATCGGGCCCAATATACTCCCCTGTGGTACCCCCGACTTGATATCCCTAAGCGAAGAATACTCCTCTTCCTGTTTAACTCGAAATACCCTATTAGTCAGGTAAGATTCGAGCAGGTCAACATACTGCCTTGGTAGTAAACGCCTAAGTTTTTTTATTAATCCACAATGCCAAACTTTATCGAAGGCCTGGGCTACGTCCAAAAATATGATAGAACATACTGCTTTTTCTTCCAGTGAATTCTCTATTAGGTCAGTTATTCTATGAATCTGATCCACGGTTGAGTGGTTGCGGCGAAAACCAAATTGGTGATTCGGGATTAACCTTTTACTTTCAATTATAGGCTGAAGTCTTCTCAATAAAAGTTTCTCTAGTAGTTTTGAAATCATTGGCAACAAAGAGATTGGTCTATAAGAAGTCGGCCTGTCTATAGGTTTGCCAGGTTTGTGCAGCATGATTATCTCTGCAACTTTCCAAATTTCAGGCACGTAATTGAACCTTATACACGCATTTATTAGGCGCGTAAGCATCGTTATACCCCTTTTGGGTAATTCTTTCAAAATATCGGCCGTTATTAGGTCAAATCCTGGGGCCTTCCTAGGTTTAAGAGCCCTAATTTCTTCTATAACATCTCTTTCTCTGACAATTGGAATAGTCACGCTATCCCCAACAAAAGCAGATTCCTCATTTTCATACACGCTCCGGCTGTCATGCGGGCAGAATATATCGGCCAAATGATCCGC